CTCTCTCTCTCTCTCTCTCTCTCTCTCTCTCTCTCTCTCTCTCTCTCTCTCTCTCTCGCTCTCTCTCTCTCTCTCTCTCTCTCCCCAGCCCTCACCTATGCACATCCATATCCACGCCACTTGATTTATTTCCTGAGAGGGCGGCAGGCGCAGAGCAAAGGCTAAGGACAAGCTGCAGGATTGGAGAGGGGAGAGGGCAAGAAGCGGGAAAGAATCAAACAGCGCGCAGAGAAAAACACGCCCCTCTGGAACCAGAACGAACGAGATATAGAGGGGGAGGAAGAGAGCGACGAGGGTAATAGTTGGCGGATTAAAAAGACGGGAAGAGAAGGTGAGAGGGAGACAAGCAATGTAGCAAAGCAAGAAAAACAGCGATTTAACAGGAATGACCCGCATTCAAACAGCTGAGTCGGAGCGGGATCTGGAAAATGAAGAAGAGTACCGGCATATCAACGTACGCATACACATAGCTCAACACCTATACATATATACATATATTTGTCACAGCCCCTCGGTTTTTTGTCCTCTTCTCCCTCCCTGCCTACCCCCGACAGTTCTATCTGCCGACATACACATACATATATATATACATACTGATTGAACCATATACATAGAGGGAAGAGCATGACTTTTACTTTTACCTGCGAAGGGGTAAGCGAGAGAAGTTCGGACCAAGAAAACGGACGGTAGAGGGACTCGATAAACCGACACAAAAACACCGACTTTCGCAACCATACCATTCAGTGAAGAAACTCAAGGTAAGAGAAAGGAGGAACATCGACAAACGCGACATACCCGGCAGAGAGAATTGAAACACTAAAGGAGAGGGAGCGAGAGAGACAGACACGGAGAAAGGAGAGAGACAGGCACGGAGAAAGGAGAGAGACAGGCATACAGACGCACACACACATACACACACACAAACGGAGAGAGAAGAGAGAGAGGGGCGGGGGGAAGGGAGAAAGCGAGGGGGAAAGAGAGAAAGAGAAACAGAGAGAGGGACAGAGAGAGAGAAAGACAAAGAAGACACACGGAGAGAGAGAGAGAGAGAGAGAGAGAGAGAGAGAGAGAGAGAGAGAGAGAGAGAGAGAGAGAGAGAGAGAGAGAGAGAAAGGAGCTACATCGATAAACAGAAAATCCCCGACGCAGAAGAGTAGCAAACGGTAATAACTAAGGGATATGCAGAGAGAGAGAGAGAGAGAGAGAGAGAGAGAGAGAGAGAGAGAGAGAGAGAGAGAGAGAGAGAGAGAGAGAGAGAACTTACAACAAGGAAGTTCCGCACTGTTGAATGTGCTCGTGGTGAGTCGACAACGCCTTATGCCGATTTTTGCTTGTTAAGTGGCACTCGTTAGTATTTCCTAGATTAGATGATGATGATGATGATGATGATGATGATAACGATGATGATGATGATAATGATGATGATGATGATGATGATGATATGACGCCCTGGAGGGGTTCTACATCAGCTGAGAGCATGTCACAGGAAGGGAGGCGAGAGAGAGCCCGGTCGGAAAAGAGAAGGGTAAGGAGGGGAGAAATAAGGACTGATAGTGTGGTTAATGATGCTGATGCTGAGTGGTAGACGGAAAGGGAACAGGGGGAGGAAGAGGAGGAGAAGGAAGAGGAGGAGGTGGAGGAGGAGTCCGGCCACCCTCTTCGCCGAGTCCTCATCACATCTGAAGATGTGTGATGTAGGTGTGGTAAGGGAGGGCACTGGACCTCCCACCGACAAAGGGAGGACCGCGCGAACGACTGACGTGGAACGAAGCTGCGGCCACCTCAACCTTCCCCCCTACAAGTTTGGCTATGGCCGTCGTGGTGCCGATATGATCCGCATTGGTTTGCTTTTTCCCCCCGCATTCTCCCATTCCTTCTAGGACCCGCCCAACAAAGTCTGGGCCAGGTCGCCGCCAGGGTTCCCCGCCCCTCCATCCTCCCCCCGCCCCGCCATAATCCCCCCCCTCCCCCTCCCCCTTCCCCGCCCCCGCCCCCTGCCCTCTTCCCGCCTCCCCTGTTCCTGTCCTGTCCACTCCTGTCCTGTCCTGGACTGGACTAGACTGCCCTTGCAGTCCCGGTCCAGTCCAGGTCCAGTCTTCCTTCCAGTCCTGTCCAGTCTGTACACACCATACCACTCCCCCCCTGGCCAGCGCAGCCCGACCCGGCCCCCGCCCAGCCGAGTCTCGGCCTCCGCCCACCC